AGAGACTGATATACTATGAGTTCAAAATCCTTTGAAAAACCGTTTGGTTTTAATTTGAGTTGATTTAAAATCTGGTGTGAACAAAAATTTTCAGTTCTGTCAGACAAGTCGATCATCTTCTTTCGAAAATATAACTAAAAGACGCATACTTTTAAATTTGTACATATCAATTCAGACTTTTGAAGCAAAAATATCAAAATTGATCTAATTCTGATTCATGTCAAATTTTCTCTATGAACATTGCAATATGTCTTAATAAAATATATCCACAAGGGTAAAATTATTTGGGAGTCATTGAAACTTGGCATGTTTAATCTTAACAGATCACAGACAAAAGCAGACATCTTAGATGGTTTTGGATTATGTCCTGATATGAATAGATATATCTTGGTTCAACTTAATCCACTATCTTAAGCATAAAATACTTTCAAATAAATAAACAATCAAATTATTTTTTTTAGTAATAACTACATAAACATTGTAGAAACATTGTTAACATCTGCTCATGGGCTTCCTTTTTGATTTACTCTTCTGAAAAAAAAAATATTATCAAAATTAGTGGAAAATTTGATAATTTCTACAATTTTAACTTTGGCTATGAGACCAGATAAGATTTTAAATATTATTATCCTTTCTTTATAGGACCCTTTTGGGGTAAAAATCGGCGTATAATACATGACAGTGGAATACAGGCAATTTTTTTGCCAATCAGAAACGGGATTTATTTTTTTGAAAAGCCAATCAACTTGAGCCTTCAAATCCACGTGTATAATATATAGAAAAGACATCTATAGAAATAGGAAGAGAAATTATTAGTTTGAGATATTTTTGAAGAAATGAAATGGTTTTCGTACATTTCGAGTACTTCTGAAGATTACTAACAATATTCAAGACTCAAATCAACCCTCCAAAATGGCGCATCTGTACCGTTAAGACATGCATTTACATTAAGTCTTTAAAATTAAGAGCTTTTAGGACAATTGTTTTCAAAACAGTGAGGTCCCATGCAAATCTCCCTCGATGCAAGAAAAAAGTTTGATAACAAAACGATAATCATTAGTTTGCAAAGGGTTAATTAGTTATAATTGATATACCAATTAATCTTAATCAATCTTTTGCAGTTACCATGAAAAATACATAATGAATATCAGGGGTTTAATTTGATGCTCCTAATAGGACAGTTGTAGAAACGATATCCTATTATATACATTGATAAGCAAATTAATACCATATACATGTATACATATTACATTAGTGTGCAAAAGTTTTAGCATGCAAGTGTCAGAAACCAAATTCCTGAAAAATTCTTACTTAATAAAGTATAATACCCAACATTCATTATTAGTAGTCCATCTACAGTGTCAATAAGTATTATCAGTAATACATTTTCAAGCAATTAGCCACAATGCTAGCATCACCTCTTATGATGTTCAAATTACCTTTGCATCCACAAATATTGAATTTTACCCAAACCATAGGTAGTGCTCTCTACCAAACAAGCCTGATTTTCGATCTTCATACTGGAAGCATTTATTTCTGTTGCTAAGAACATCATAAAATCACTTTGAAATCTTTCAAATGCGCTCTTAGAGTATTCTAATTATTTGCCTTTTATTCCTTGAATATTCCCAACCCTGGTTAGACATCTTTTAGATCATATCGAGACAGAGAATAAATTATTAGTATCAGATTATTATTATATCATTTATTATCTTAAAGAGAATGCCCCACGACAGGGCTATTTTTCAATCATTGTCCAAAGCATGTTTGGAAAATATAGCCAAATTAAAGATGGGTTTCCTTATTTTTCAGTCTCAAATTAAGCAAACTATTTGAATAATTGGTGTTTCTATTGAATTATCATGTATTCTTAATCTTATTAGTTCTTATTGCACAAGAGTTTTGACCAATCATAAATGTCCTTGTATGTACAGTCTGGATGAACAAAAAAATACTTTTTGACCTTTCTTGATTGGAATTCTGTTGGTAATTCTCTTCTAATTTAGCTGATTATGAATTAATCATGGACACATGAGATAAACTGGTATTTTCCCAAGTCATTAGAATACCTCTACTTTCTATTCATATAAATGAAAATAAGGGAACCCATCTTTAACAGCCCTGCCTCATGTATTCTTAGATTTCTCAATTAGATTCATACATCCATTTCTTTATTTTGAGTTTACTGTAATCACGATTGACCAATTGGACTATACTATTTTGAAATTTTATGTTCATTCATTCAGGAGGTAGTATTCCTTTAAGAAGTATTATATATTATAATATAACCCATATATAATTAGATATAAATACATTCATACCACATATTACAAGGGATCATTTCTCATAATCATGCTCAAGTATTTGAGCAGGAAGTAAATGCAACAATTTGTGATGCGTACCATGCACCAAATAAAATAAGAAAAAAGTCAAATCACAATCAGTTATCAGTGGCTCAAGTTAAGTGTAGAAAAGATCCCTTTAAAGTCTACATTACACCAATAGTACCAGTAAACATGCAACTATGTGATTATTATCTACTAAAAACTCACCCAACATACAACATTACATCCTGTAATAATATAGCATTCAACATGATCATAGGATAGTTCTAGCGATGATTTCATTTAATGATGAATGATGACAATGATGCTTTTAGAAATATAATGAAGAATATGTGTCAAAGTGATAAATATGTGTAAACCAATCAATATGATCAAATGATAAATATGAGATTGAAGAATAAATATGAGATAAGTGACATAATTATTAATATGAAATTAAATGATAAATATGAGATTAGTGACAGAAGATTAATATGAGATAAGTGACAGAATGATTAATATGAGATAAGTGACAGAATGATTAATATGAGATAAGTGACAGAATTATTAATATGAGATTAAATGATAAATATGAGATAAGTGAAAGAATGATTAATATGAGATTAAATGATAAATATAAATAAGTGACAGAATGATTAATATGAGATAAGTGACAGAATGATTAATATGAGATAAGTGACAGAATGATTAATATGAGATAAGTGACAGGATGATTAATATGAGATTAAATGATAAATATGAGATTAAATGATAAAATATGAATAAGTGACAGAATTATTAATATGAGATAAGTGACAGAATGATTAATATGAGATAAGTGACAGAATGAATAATATGAGATAAATGACAGAATGATTAATATGAGATTAGTGAAAGAATGATTAATATGAGATTAAATGATAAATATGAGATAAGTGACAGAATGATAAATATGAGATAAGTGAAAGAATGATTAATATGAGATTAAATGATAAATATGAAATAAGTGACAGAAATATTAATATGAGATTAAATGATAAATATGAAATAAGTGACAGAATGATTAATATGAGATAAGTGACAGAATGATTAATATGAGATAAGTGACAGAATGATTAATTTGAAATAAGTGACAGAATTATTAATATGAGATTAAATGATAAATATGAAATAAGTGACAGAATCATTAATATGAGATTAAATGATAAATATGAGATAAGTGAAAGAATGATTAATATGAGATTAAATGATAACTATGAGATAAGTGACAGAATGATTAATATGAGATAAGTGAAAGAATGATTAATATCAGATTAAATGATAAATATGGGATAAGTGACAGAATGATTAATATGAGATTAAATGATAAATATGAGATAAGTGACAGAATGATTAATATGAGATTAAATGATAAATATGAGATTAAATGATAAATATGAGATAAGTGACAGAATGATTAATATGAGATAAGTGACAGAATGATTAATATGAGATAAGTGACAGGATGATTAATATGAGATTAAATGATAAATATGAGATAAGTGACAGAATGATTAATATGAGATAAGTGACAGAATGATTAATATGAGATAAGTGACAGGATGATTACTAT